GCCACAACGCCCAGCTATTTATTTCTGTTTTTAAGATTTCTAACTTGATCACACTGTAGTCAGAGAATATTGCTCTTTTGGTATCAGTCTTTATCAATTACCTGTTGTTGCATAATGAATTGTCCCAAACTTTAAAGTTCTATTAATATTCCTTTGAAACTGGCTGTGCCTGTAGCTCAGTGGGTAGGGTGCTGGCCACATATACCAAGCTGGTGAGTTCGAGCCCGGCCTGAGCCTGCTAAACAACAATGACAACTGCAATAAAAAAAAAATAGCTGGGTGTTGTGGTCGGCATCTGTAGTCCCAGCTATTTGGGAGGCTGAGGCAAGAGAATCACTTAAGCCCGAGTTTAAAGTTGCTGTGAGCTGTGACACCATGGCACTGTACCAAGGGCAACAAAGTGAGACTCTGTCTCTTAGAAAACAAACAAACAAACCTCATGAGATGGCTAGAGAAATACTTGAAGAGAAACATACACATACTAGAAAATATAAAAATTGAGCTCAGCATCCACATCAAAAAATTAGAAAGAGGAGTGAGAAATAAATTCCAAATAAGCAGGCAAGTAAAAGGAATAAAGCTTTTGAAACTCTGTCTCAAAAAAAAAAATTCCTGTCAAACTTGCCAATCATCAGAGCATTTAAAAGATTTCACAGAGCTTGCCCGAGTCTTGTCCTCTCCTCTTTAGATATCATGTCCCCACCTTCTCCAGCTATTACCAGTCCCTGGTCTCAGTCCAGGCGCTCAGCTACAGTGTCTGGCCCACCAGCAGTGCAGCCAGCATCTATGCAGGTGCCGAGGGCTCAGACTCCTAGATCTCTCTGTTCCGCTCCACCAGCTTCTGGGGCGGCTGGGGATCCAGAGGCCTGGCCACAGGGATGGCTTGGGGTCTGGCAGGAATAGGAGGCATCCAAAAGGAAGCCATGCAAGAACTGAATGACTGCCTGGGCTCCTACCTGGTCAGAGTGAGGAACCTAGAGACTGATAATCAGAGTCTGGAGAGCAAAATCTGGGAACACCTGGAGAAGGGGCCCCAGCTCAGAGACTGGGCGCATTACTTCAAGACCATTGAGGACCTGAGGGCTCAGATCTTTGCAAATTCTGTGGACCATGCCCGCATCTTTCTGCAGATTGACAACGCCCATCTTGCTGCTGATGACTTTAGAGTCAAGTATGAGACAGAGCTGGCCATGCGCCAGTCTGTGGAGAGCGACATCCATGGGCTCCACAAGGTCATTGATGACATCAATGTCACCCAGCTGCAGCTGGAGACAGAGATCTGAGACTCTCAAGGAGGAGCTGCTCTTCATGAAGAAGAACCATGAGGAGGAAGTAAAAGTCCTACAAGCCCAAATTGCCAGCTCTGGGTTGACTGTAGAGGTAGATGCTCCCAAATCCCAGGACCTCAGCAAGATCATGGCAGACATGTAGGCCCAGTATGATGAGCTGGCTCGGAAGAACCAAGAAGAGCTGGCCAAGACCTGGTCCCAGCAGACTGAGGAGAGCACCTCAGTGGTCACCTCACAGTTTCCTGAGTTTGGAGCTGCTAAGACAGTGCTTACGGAGCTGCCACGTACAGTCCAGTCCTTGGAGATCAAACTAGACTCCATGAGAAATCAGAAGTCCAGTTTGGAGGACAGTCTGAGGGAGGTGGATGCCTGCTACGTCATGCAGATGGTGCAACTCAGTGGGGTCCTGCTGCATTTGGAGTTAGAGCTGGCACAGACCCTGGGCAGAGGGGCAGTACCTGGCCTAGGAGTATGAGTCACTGCTGAACATCAAGGTCAAGCTAGAGGCTGAGAGTGCCACCTACTGCCGCCTGCTGGAAGACGAGGAGGACTTCAACTTTAGTGATGCCCTGGAAAGTAGCAACTCCTTGCAAACGATCCAAAAGACCACCATTCCCAGGATAGTGGGTAGCAAAGTGGTGTCTGAGACCAACGACACCAAAGTTCTGAGACACTCAGGCAGTAAGAGCAGTGTGCCCTTCTACCAATAAAGAGTTCAGAGGTCACTGGAAAAAAAAGATTCACAAGTATTTTTTCCATCATTTTTAGTTATTTTCTTTTATTTTTTTCATTTTTAGTTATTTTCTTCTATTTTTTTTTTCATTTTTAGTTATTTTCAACAGAAGGGCCAAGGTGCTCTATTCAGCCAAACTGTTACAGATGGAAGCTGTATCTGTAAAAGTTATTAAAAACCTGAACCCTGTAGTCCCAGCTACTCGGGAGGCTGAGGCAAGAGAATTGCCTATGCCCAAGAGCTGGAGGTTGCTGTGAGCTGCGACGCCACAGCACTCTACCAAGCGTGACAAAGTGAAACTCTGTCTCTAAAAAAAAAAAAAA